TGTCAACATAGTTGTACAAAATCAATGTACAAGTAGGTTAATTCTTCTTCTTCTTGTTTTGTTTAAATATTGTTCGTTCATTGGTTACTATAATTTACGGTATATTTTAATAGATTTGATATTTATTAGTTCTTATATTGTTTGGAAAATTTAACAAATTGTTTGGATGAAGATAGATTAATTTTCGATTGATTTGTTTCCTTAATTGGACGAGAGCAAAAAAATTAAAATAAAATAAAATCAGTTGATTAACATTTTTTTTTCTCTCTACCCAAATGACATTTATGAACCTGCACGAAATAACTCCACTCATGGACTGGGAAATAAGAGTACTAGTCTAATTTGCGCCTAACCTGCATGAATACTAGCAATTTTAACTAGAGAAAGGATTAATAAAGACTCATTTGGTAGGATTTTTAAAAAAGCAAAAGCTACTTAAGACTAAAAAGCTCTTTCGAACATATTTAATTAAAAGTGTTTTGTGTGAATAGACGAAGAACTTCTAAATAAGTCGAGATAACTTCCTAAATTGACCTAAGTTAACTTTCTTAAATAACTCTTATACGAGAAGCAAAAACAAAATGCGTGCTAAACGTTCCCTGATAGTCTTTAGATGTAATAACTTATTTTTAACTTAGCTGAGCATAAGATTTGGGTGTAGAAAATCTACAAAAACCACACAGTTCTTGATGAAACACATAAGTTTGCATTATATCACTAAATTAAAACAGAGCGGAATATAAGTTGAACAAAGCTCTAAAATCATCGAAAATCAGGTGTTCAAAACTTTCAAGGCAGAGAATTTTCTCTAACAAATAAGGTAACGACATACAACCACGCTCCTCTCTAATTTATATTCACATAGTTGGGAAATTACACAAGTTTCCTGAGGTAGCAAAGGACTTCTTATAAAATGTAAAATAGACAACAAATTTAAGACATTTATAAGAACAAAAATAAAAAGTAGAATACACCTCTCTGGATGATTTATCTCAAGAATCATGTTACAATCACAATACCCATCATTATTTAGCTCTATCAGCTCCCCTTTAACTAAGTCAATCAGACCACAATGTTCTTGTTTTAACTATGGCTACAAAATCACCAGCCTTTTCTGATGGATTCTAATCAGATTCCATAAGAATGAAAACCCTCTATTTCCATGGTGGTGTATGCTGTTTAAAGGGGGGTATATGTTCCCACCCGGTCACAGGTTCTTTGCGTTTTTCGCCAACTGAAATGACAGAGGTTTGGGAATTGGCGCTCAACTGACCTGAACTGAAGAACGGTCTCAAGCCTGCAGGATCCCCGCGTCCTCCTTCCAATGTCAACCCAGAGATGAAATCAAAACTACTTCGAGAAGGTCCGACTCCATTTAAAGCAGTTGATCCTTCCATGGTTAAGAAAGCAGGCTGAAGAGATGAAGCAGAGCCCACAATATGAGGGACAACATGTGCTCCTTTAGAATCCACCACATATGGAATGGGCCCACTCGGCCTGTACATCCTGGATGTGAAAGGTGTATCAGGCCCGGGAGCATGGCCATTGTAACTGTAAACAGTAGGAACATTGTAAATTACAGATCCACTTCCCGGAACACTACATGATCTTCCCAAGTTTATGTCCAGTGCAAGCTCCGGAGTCCTTACATCTGGCAAGGGAAGAGGTTCAGGAATGAAATCATTATTCTTGACCTCCACCTTAGTGCCCATAATGGATATTACATTAGAATTATCAGGTGGCTTAGTAAAACAGGAATGATCCAACAAATTATTGAGAAAGGGCGGCTGATCATTCAGATCAAAATTCCTTAAAGAAGGCTGTTTTGATGATGAAGACGAAGGATGAGATTGACTACGATGGGCATTCCTATGGGGAGAGAGCTGTCCCTCGGCCTGTGATGTAAAATCACCATCTTCACTTGCACGATTAAGATCCAAGCCAAGATGTTCTGATATTGAACTAGCTTCTGCCAAAGGTTCCCTGGAAGGAAGGGTGGAATGGACGAGGCCCTGTTTATCTGGTGGTAGGTTTCCTCTGTCATCTTCACTTTCAGCTACATTCAAATCAATGTCAAAACATCCTTGCGGTTTCTTACCTTTATGATCTTCATGTATGTGACAAGGCAATGCTGGACGGAAAGCACTTGTTGCAGCAGAACCTTTCCATCCAAGATTGCCCTCAAATTGCAATGGAGCAACATGCAATCCAGGATTTGCTGCTACTGTTGAAGCAGAAACAATAGAGAGAGGTGTAGAACTTTGATTCCCCACACTGTACGTGTCTTCAGAACAAACTTCAAGGTTCAGATCAAAATTACATAAGCCTCTCTCTGAATTGAATTCTTCTGGAGCCACCTCGGTTATCAAAGAGGTTTCCATATCTTGTGTGCCATCTTTCTCATCAGCATCTAGCCCAGACTCTTCTTGGATTGGTGATGCTTCTGTGGACTGAGCAGGCTCAGTTTCCTCCTCCTTATAAGAGCCCTCACTGACATGCGATTGTATTCTACTTACAATGTCTGGGCTATCTGGCTGCTGTATTTCATCTTCCCGTACTTCGTCGTGTGGACTGAGACTATGTTCTCTGAGATCTACTTCTCTCTCCACTTCTATGGCAACTTGCCGTGCAAGTTCCAGTGGATCTACAATTCCATAGTCTTGTTCAATATTAGACTTTACATCAAATTTGTCAGGATCTCGATCCATTGGGCATTTCACAAAATTATAATCATTTGCCAAATCATCATCACTTTCACCGGTAACATGCTGGTCAGGTTTGTCTACTCCTACAGCATCTTTGATCCTCGATAAAATTGTCCTGGAATCCTTGAGATTTTCCCAACTTCGCTCATCGTCGTCAGATTTACAGTCACCGCCTTCTTTAATTCTGAGTTGATTTGCACATTCTCCAATCTCCATGGCACCCCCCTTGGAGACAATTGCCGTCATGTCGTCACAAGACGAACATTTCTGGCAAGAATCTTTATCTGAAGCATCAGCAAATTTCTGTAAACTAGGTTCAGACACCGAATTCAACCCTATTGAAGCAAAAGAACACGAAGGAAAAGCTCCGTCTTCTAATAGTTTTGATTCAACCATGCCTAGTTTCTCCGGAGAACTTTTACTGTTTGGGGTTCGCTTTACCTCACAATCAAACTCCGACTCATGAAACTCTTTCCGTCCATCACCCGTATCTTGCCTTTGAACTGCAGAACTGCACGATGCAGTTGAAGTAGAATCTTTTGAAATGCATAGAGGATCTACCGTATCACAAATATTTTCATTAACAGCTTTTGGGAAGGAAGGTGAGACGACATGATCTATAGGTGTATCATTTGAAGTTGGTTGGTAAGTCCTTTCAGAGGCCAAGGCATCTTCAACCTTGTTATTTTGGAGAGCATCAAAACTTGTAGATGGCAATGGGTCATCTGATTCCTGGTGTTTTTCTTCATCAGAACTCTCTCTGGGTAAAGGAGCATCTCCGTAAGAAGATTCTTTACGGCCAGAATCTCTCTTGATATCTGCGCTTACTCTAACTTCACCATCAGTCAATTCTCCGACTATTTTAACATTCTGGAAAGATGCACTCTTGTCTCTATCTTTTTTCCAGCTTTCAAACAGAATTTTGGCCCTATGCTGTACCTTGGGACTATTATGGCCAAGGAGATCCTCAACAGTCATCCAGATTCCACAAGAAACCAATTTTACATTGTCTATGTGCAACTTTTCAAGTGCTCTGAGTAAATGAGTGATACACTCTTCCACAGAGCTGTCATTTGTGTCATTGCTGAAATTTTTAGCATCCTTTAACCATTTATCCAAGTGTTGGAGTCCATCTAACTGAACAAAAAGATCAAGACAGTCCTTATTCTCTGTGGCAGCTATAGTCTTGGCAACTGCAGACCATTGTCTGGTTGCATCGCCAACATTCTTTGCAATATAGTCTCTCTCTTTCTCCAGTAGAGCCAGAAATTCAGTGACACGAACAGGGACTGTTAGCCCATTATTCATCTCTGTCAAGGTGAAGAAGTCCTCGTGCATCATAATAGCTCAACAGTCAGGACTTCAAAAATTTAAACTTGTCCTTGAAAAATGCTGTTGCATTTTTTCTCAACCTTTTGGCAACCACCGACTGCAAAACAACATGTTGATAAAATGTCAGACATGTTGATTGGCTGTAGTTACCGTGCATGGTATCAACAAACTCCTGGGAAGAGAGAGAACACGAAGCACAGCAGTCTCAGCCAATCACTGAAATGAGGTCTATAAAATATGCAATTAAAAAGGCAGGCTTAATTGGGTACTGAATCGTTTTATCTCCATGAGGCGAGGTGTAAGCCTTGAGACGCTTTGAGGCATAAGTCTCAAGATGTAACAGTAAAAGAATTCAAATGCATATGAAAATACAAAATTATGCTCGTAATATACTAGAAGTCCTTTTGGAAAAATTCATGATAAAACAAATTAACAAATTAAAAGTCTAACTTGCAATCAAACATAATATGTAATAGATCAAT